CCCTCTCTCGCTGTCTCTCTCTGTCAAATAAATGAGTAGAATCTTAAAAAAAAAAAAAAAAATCGGATGCTTAACCAACTGAGGCACCCAGGCACCCCTCAAGGACACTATTTTTTAAATTCATCTTCTCTTTTGCCATTTTTGATGGTTTTTTTGCCTCTCATCGTCCCACTATGGCTGCCACAGTTCCAGATATCACATCTCAACCTCCAAAGGCCTCATCCCCAAGCAACTGCCCTGTCACTTCCTGGCTGAAAGTAGGACATATCTATGCCCAAAGCAATCCCTGTCAGGGGGAAGGGAATATCGAGTAAAAAGTTAAGAACTGGTACCTGGGGGTGGGAGAGACCCAGTACTCCACCCCCCACCTCTTTCCCTCACCCTTGACCCCTCCTTGACTCAAGCAGTGGCAATGTCATAGAAGGAAGAAAGGGGATGGCTCCTCACTTGTTAGTAGATGTTCTGATGCTAGAAGCCCAGGGCATTGTGGGAATATTATTTATGGAGCATGTATTAGTTGGTTAGGGCTGCATAACAAAGTGCCACAGACTGGGTGGCTTTAACAACAAACTTATTTTCTCACGGTTCTGGAGGCTAGAAGTTCAAGATGAAGGTGTTGGCAGGGTTGATTTATTTCCTTTGTTTTTTTTAAGTTTTTTTAAAGATTTATTTATTTATTTGACAGAGAGAGAGCCCGAGCTGCAGGGAGGGCCAGAGGGAGAGGGAGAAGCCGACTCCCTGCTGAGCAAGGAGCCCAATGCGGGACTCAATCCTAGGACCCTGGGGGCGCCTGGGTGGCTCAGATGGTTAAGCATCTGCCTTTGGCTCAGGTCATGATCCCAGAGTCCTGGGATCGAGTCCCGCATCGGGCTCCCTGCTCCTTGGGAGCCTGCTTCTCCCTCTGCCTCTCTCTCTCTCTCATGAATAAATAAATAAAATCTTAAAAAAAAAAAAAAATCCTAGGACCCTGGGATCATGACCTGAGCCGAAGGCAGATGCTTAACCGACTAAGCCACCCAGCTGCCTCTAATCTCTTTTTTTAAGGACTCCAGTCATTGGATTATGGCCCCCCATATGACAGTTTACTTTAATTACCTCTTTAAAGACCCTGTCCAAATATAGTCACATTCTGAGGTACTGGGTTAGGACTGCAACATGAATTTGGGGAGTGGGATACAATTCAGCCCATAACTGAATACCTCTCCACTCCATACAGGTCCCATGGTGGGCACCAGGAAGCCAGCGCTGAGCCAGCTACAAAAGGTCTCTGAGTACCCACTGAGGTCCAGGGGAGCTCAGGAGTGCATGATGGGGTTGGCAGCTCTGCTCTGGGGCCCAGAGAGCCTGAGGAGCTGAATGGCCAAGATCGGAAGGGTGAGGGGTGGATCAGGAGGGTGAAGAGGGCTCCAGGCAGTGGGAACAGTAAGCGCAAATACCTGGAGATGAGAAGACCTGCTTTGTGAAGGCCTGAGGGCAGGGATAGTGAAGGCAGACCTTGGGGAGGAACTGTGGCCTCCCCCTTTCCCCACCCTAGCGGCACCTTCTATTCAAGCCACAGCCTCTGGTTATCATTGTAGTTGCAAAATGTTTACCCATCCAGATTCCATTAATAATTCTGCCCTGTCCTTTTCTGTGCTGTAAATTTGTAAATTTATGCTCTCAAGTTTGGATTTACATTTTTTTCCTCAGAATTATTAGAATTACAGTTTATCGGGCGCCTGGGTGGCTCAGATGGTTGAGCGTCTGCCTTCGGCTCAGGTCATGGTCCCGGGGTCCTGGGATCGAGTCCTGCATCGGGCTCCCTGCTCCTTGGGAGACTGCTTCTCCCTCTGCCTCTCTCTCTCTCTCTCTCTCTCTGTCTTTCATGAATAGATAAATAAAATCTTAAAAAAAAAAGAATTACAGTTTATCTTGAATTTATAGGCTCTTCTGACTGCTGATGGAATTTGCCTGGACAAGATAAACTATCCCTTTTTCACAGCTGGCCATAACCAGAAGCCAGTGGGCACCCTAAAGATGTAATTTGCAAATGTTACTTCTTTTTATTTTTTTTAAGATTTTTTATTTACTTTGACAGAGAGCTAGAGAGCACAAGCAGGGGGAGCAGCAGAGAAAGAGGGAGAAGCAGGCTCCCCGCACAGCAGGGAGCCCACCATGGAGCTGATCCCAGGACCCTGGGATCATGACCTGAACTGAAGGCAGACACTTAACGGACTGAGCCACCCAGGTGCCCGCAAATGTCACTTCTAACAAATGTCTTTGAATCCCCGGATATTCAACTAGGGATCCCCAGATCAGCAGCATCAAGCTCATCTGTTAGAAATGTGGAGTCTGGGGGCACCCGGGTGTCTCAGTCGGTTGCATCTGACTCTTGATTTGGGCTCAGGTCTTTATCTCAGAATGGGGAAATCAAGCCCTATGTTGGGCTCCACCCTGAGTATGGAGCCTGCTTGGGATTCTGCTCCTCCCTACTCTCACAGTCAATCAATCAATCAATCAATTCTTCTTTAAAAAATTTAAAAAAAAAATGAAGTTAACCACAACCTGTTTCTGGAAGGTTGCACACGAGCCTGCTCTCCTTAGGACCGCCATGGGGGTTATTCCTCTGGTTCTCTTTCACCCATCTCTGCCCACCTGCTTCCTGTCCCGAGATCCTCACTGGTGTTCCTCATCCAGGCAGGCGAGAGTGTCAGTCCAGGGGCGCCCAGGGGGCTCAGTCGGTTAAGCGTCTGCCTTCGGCTCAGGTCAGGATCCCAGGGTCCTGGGATTGAGCCCCACATTGGGCTCCTTGCTCAGCAGGGAATCTGCTTCTCCCTCTGCCTCTGTCCCTTCCCCCCTACTCCTGCTCTCTCTTTCAAATAAATAAATAAATAAAATCTTAAAAAAAAAAGTGTAAGTCTGATGGATCTTTCTCTGTGTAAACCTTCCATGGCTTTCACACCCCTTATCATCAGGGCCAAGGCCCTTTGCCTGGTGTTCAAGGCCTTCTGTGATCTGACCCCTCTCCCATACTGTGCTCCAGGCTCACTGAGCAACTGGGAATTCCCAGAACCTGAAATACCCAGGCCTTCTACTTGAAATGCCCATGCCTATAGCTTGGTCATCTGCCTGGAGATCCTTCAAAGGCTTATCTACTTTCTTCCTTGAATGTCAACTTATCCTCGTCACAATAATGCAGTATATAACCGCAACAATGATAATGGATGACGTCTACACTTATTGTTAATTATGTGCCCGGCACTTTCTAAGTATTTTATATGACCTCCGTCCCATGAGGAGATGGAGTCTAGATGCTTCCCCTTGAATACGAGCTGGCTCTAGTGACACAACATCAGTGAATAGAGTGGAGACGACACTGATTTCCAAGGCTAGGGAGTCAGAGAGGAGACCCCTTCAACCAGACTGTCTTGGAAACTCTTGCCCTTGGAGTCCAGATGCCATACTGTGAGGAAGCCCAAGCCACAGGGACTGGCCACGTGTAGCGATTCTGGTCAGCAGCCCCAGCTGGGGTTCAAGGCAAGAGCCAGTGCCAACCAACAGATGTGTGAATGAAGACGCCTTTAAGATGACTCTAACCCCAGCCAGTGTTTAAGCGAACAAGAACCACCACCAGAAAACAGAAAGAATAATGATTGTTGTTTTTTACCACTGAGTTTTGAGTTGCTACACAGCGATGTATAACCAGAACAACTTGCATTCACTCATTAATACTCCCAACAACCCTAGGAGAGGAATGATTATCATCCCCATTTGATAGATAAAGAAACAGACTCAGAATGGCTGGGCAACATTCGCAAAGTTACAGCGTGAGTAAATGGTAGAACTGGGATGTTGAACCCAGGTGGACATACTCCAGAGTCAGGGTCGTAGCCATGTCTCTATGGCCAATATATCTTGATTCCTTCCCCAGCACTCCTTAACCTTCTGGTTCCAGCACCTGATTTTCCTTTGGGACCACCTCTCCACCATCCTCAGTCCATACGGTTTAGATGGAACTGACCCCACCTTGCCTTCAGGCACAAGCCCATAACCCATATCAGGCCAGTGAGAGTACAGCATCCCTCTGGGCACAGTGATTGGTTTGGTGATGGGCTCACGATGAGGCAGGATCATTGAGTGCCAGCACTGGAAACTTTGCTGGCTTTACAGAGCAATAGGCCCATTTTAACCACTGGAATCATGTAGTTGCTGGTCCATCTTTGCTGTTGTGAGGAGATCTTGTCCGAAAGTATAGCCAAGAAAAAGATGCAGACAGATTCCTAACATCATTTAAGGACCTAGATACAGCCATTCCTGAAGCTCATCACTGTTGGCGAAAGGTAATTTGAGCTGAGTTTGTCTCTTGCGGCTGAAAGAGGTCTATCTGCTACTCTCGCAGGAGTCTCTTCTCTTATGCCTTTCCATCTTCCCTGAGGGCAGAGAATGGGCCTGATCTATCACAGCAGTGTCTGGGCACAGGAGACATCATCAGTCTTGTTCTATTGAACAGAACTAAAAGGCACTTTGCCCCTGTTTTACTGGTGAGGAAACGGGCTGTCCTAAGGCTCTTGGATAGGAGGAGGATCAGGAGTAGCACTTACATCCCAAATTTTAAATCTGAGTCAAGTCCTTTGTCTTAGGTAGCGGACTGGGATTTGGAAGAAAGGGAGGAAGGAATGAAAGAGGCATCAGGCTAGCCACTGTTGGGTCGGCTTACTCAGAGGGAAGGGCCATAAAGGTCTTGAGGTCTATACAAGTCAAGGAGCCTCCTCATGGACCTGGTGGCTCACAGTGGGGGAGCATACCTTTTGCCCTTGTCAGCCCCTCTTCTGGACCCCTCTCCATTTCTGACACCTGGATATTCCAAGTTGTGAAAGTGCTCAGAATATAGGCTGTCATTTACATGCTAGTGTGCATCACTTGCTAACTCTGGGACCTGAGGATTTGAAGTGAGACACTGATCACTCTCTGGCAGCTATTCTTGCCACCGATTTCCCCAAGAAGCAGCCACATCACAGTGCTCTAGTTGGCGACTTTATTCGGGGGGAGAGGGGAAGATGAGCTAGAGTTGGATTATTTCTTTGATCATCTGGAGAAGGGCGAGTCTCTGGGACTCCAGGGAGGCGGGACAGGACTCGAAACTAGAAGGCAGAGCGGGAGAGAGGTGGAGCTCTGGGTGTCCTGAGGGGCCGGAACAGGGGAAGGGGCTCATCTCCCATCCAAGGCCCCGCGCCCCCCTAGGGGCCGCTGCCGCCTCCACTGCCACTCCCGCTGCCCGCAGCATCCAGGATCGAGATGCGTGAACGGCGGAAACGCGGGAAGGTGATTTCCCCGGCCTTCCGTTCCTGTCTGGAACCCGGCAGTACCGAGATGGAAATGTTGAGGCAGTGACCGGCGCCAGGAGCTGCCACCGGCAGCGCGTAGCCCAGAACGGAACGGCAAAGGTCCGCCCCGTCAGCGAAGGTCTGGGGGAGGGGGTGGAGTTAGGGCCCGAGTGGGCGGAGTCCTGATACTCGGGGGCGTGGCCTTCGGGCTGAGGGGGAGGGAGGGCTGAGGGGCGTGGCCTTGGAAAGGGAAAATCCCGGACTTTGCAAGAAGGGGCCAGTGTAGAAGCGCGGTCTAGGGGTGGGCAATTACCCGCTTTGGGTCCTCCCAGGAGTGTGGGGGCGGGGACATAACAGGAGTGGAGTCCTGGGCGGGCGAGTTATTTTTACTGGGTCCCCGGGTTGAGGTGGGGGAGGGCCAGATTAAGGCTGGGACCTTAGGGAAGGTGATTTGGGCTTCTGGGTCTTCCAGGGGGAACTGTGGATGGGCCTAGAGCAGAGACAGTCCCTTGGGGAGGCCAAATCCAGACTCAGTGGGCCCTAAGGAGCGTACAGACGTATCCCACTATGGAGGCTAGGCTGCGGAAGGGGGAAGGGTGGGAGCAGGGGCCTTGGGAGTGTCAGTCTGGATCCTGGGGCATAGGCGGGTTAAGACTGGACATAATAAGGGGAGGTCCCAGTCTCTCACCCGCATCTTCTGTCTCAAGCTCACCTGGTCATAGGTAGTGCAGCCAGGCTCACAGTCCCTCTTTTCTAGAAGTGAGAGCCAAGTCGGGCCGCAGGTGATATCGTTTTCGCAGGTGGCAAACCTGTGGATGGTGTGTAGAGAGAAGGTGGGTAAAGTCTCCGCAGTCGCATCCTAGTGGGTTTCCTGCCCTCTAAGTCTTCGCTTCGTGTATGTCCCGCCCCCAGATCCAGGTCCCGCCTCTTAGGATCACGTCCCCAGGGACGCCATCCTCCAGATTTCACCATGCCCTATATTCTCCACACATACCCAGGGCCCTGGCACAACTGGCCTCATCCCTGCAGACTTCAGACCATCTAATTTAGGCCAGCCCCTTACACTCCCCACCATTTTAGCTTCTCTTTTCTATCAGGAGGCCCCGCCCCTTAAAAAGCCCAGGTCCATGGAAGGCCACGCCTCCGTACTGCCAATCTTAAAAAAGCCGGGTCCTTTAGAGGCCCCGCTCCTTTCTACCTGGCCTCTAAACACTAGGCCTCATCTTTAGACCTTGGCCTTGTTGGGAGACAGGCCACGCCCTTTCAAACTCTAGGACTAGCAAACTGCAGATCCTGCCTTTGGTCCTGCCCAAACCATAGGACACGCCCCTTATGCCCCGCCTCCCATACCAGACATCGCAGAGCTCGGAGCAGAGCGGCTGCGCTTGGCGTATCCCCAGTAACAGCAGGCGGAAGCGACTGTGGAGGGCAACTTGGAGGTGTCCCAGAAAGGATTCGCACCTGAACATCGGGAAAGACAGGCTCGTTTGGGTCAGGATGCACAGGGGCTGTGGCCCCTGACAGGGGCAACTGGAGCAAAGAACACAAGGAAACGCTGGCGAGTACTGTACTCACCCGGGGCTCGGGTCCCCACAGCGTTCTGGGACCATCCCAGGGTCCGATGCCTCTGGCGTGTCCATCTCTGAGGGACAACAGGACCATGGAGAAGGGAACTCCTGTGAGCTGGAGTCTTGGATCCTCAGGTAGGATTGGGGAACCAAGGCCCGGGGGTCCCCTGAACATAACCCCAGTTATGTCAATGCCACCCAAACGTTAAACTTAAATAAAGACAGTTCTCTTGGGACACAAATGCAATTTCGAATGAGAATAATAATAATAATAGTTTATCATAATCAGCTTATTTTTTATTATGTCTGTGATAGTGGTGTAAGTTTTCATATACTTACATATATCCCTTTACAATACCTCTATGAGGTAGGTCTACTATTTTTCTCCCTCTTTAATGGTCTGCATGAAGTCCAGAGAGGTTAAGTGACTTGCTCAGAGTCACACAGTTATGAAGTGGCAGAATTGGGAGTGGGATTTGAATCCAGGCAGTCTGACTCCAGAATCTAAGCACTTTAACTACCATTCTTTTTTTTTTTTAAAGATTTTATTTATTTATTTGACAGGCACAGAAAGAGAGAGAGAGCACGCAAGCAGCGGGGAGTGGCAGGCAGAGGGAGAGGGAGAAGCAGGACCCTGGGATCATGACCTAAGCTGAAGGCAGACACTTAACTGACTGCCCCTTTAACTACCATTCTTCAGCACAAGCCCTGACTCCCCATTTTCCCCCACCCATGTGTCACCCTAAGCTCCTCTCATAAGGAAATTCTGGTATTGCTATGGTGAAGTGGGATTTCTTGGGTGTTGGAGGTTAGGCAGGGTCTGGAGTGCTCACCTGCAAGGTGCAGCTGACCTGTGCCAAGATCGGCCGCCAGCCTATGATGTCTCCGGGACATAGCTGGGAGTGGGCGGCTTCCTCCACAGGCTCCCAGCAGGATCCATGCGAGGGTCAGTCCTAGGGTCCAGGTCAGTCCCTTGGGTCGAGTGTGGCCCCTGCAAGCCATGTCCACTTGAGACAAGAGTCAGCTGGGGTATGTGGTGAGGTTTGGCTGTCCCTTTCCAGGAGGTCAGGGTAGTACCCTCTTGATGCCTACCCAAGAGACAGTGGCAGAGAGAGCAGAGAAAGAGAGTTGATGGGGAGGCAATGACCAAGGATCTTCAAATCTCATGGGGCCTTGAAGTCCTGCCTCTGACCCAGGAGTCCCTTCTCCCCCATCAGACTCATGTCCCCTCCATCCCTTTAGGCCCAAGTGCCCCCTCCTCTAGTTTGACCATGGTGCCCCTCCCCCTCACACCCAGCAGGATCTCCCACCCTGTTGGCCCTCAGGTGATCCCCTCTGTCTTCAGAACTAAAGGGACTCTCCAGCTCTTGCAATCTCCCTCTTCTGTCCAGTAATTCCTCCCTCTCTTCTGCCCAGTCTCCTCCCTCCCGCTTGATCCCCACTGGCCCCTCTCATGGTCACCTTCTCTCGGCCCACAATCGGCTTAGGGGCTGCCACCAGGGCTGGGCCTTTGGAGCCAAGGTTGGCTGTGGCAGAACTCGAGTTTTGCTGCTGGGGTCCAAAAGCCACAAGGTAGGGGAACCTGAGGGTCTGTGGAGACAAGACAATTCCCTCCCCTCCTCTGCCCCCTCTGGCCACTCCTCACCTGTTAACTGGATGGGGGTCTAGGGCGCAGCTGAGACACCTCAGGGTCAAGTGCAAGAAAGAGTGGCAGCCAAAGGAGGTGTGGTTTGATGCAGAGGAGGAGTTTCTCATTGCCCCACCCCCTGCTCCAGCTGACCAAAGGCCAGTGAACCTGGGACTGCTGTGTATATATCCTTGTGTTGGCCTTTATGTTGAAATTGTGGCTTAAACTCTATCTATGTGTATGTGTGTTGGATGAGTGTGTTTGTATGACTGTGTGTGTATAGAGTGTATGTTTGTTGTGTGAGGGTATAGTATGTGTGTCTCTTGGTTGAGTGGTTGTATGGGTGTGTGTATGTGTTCAAAATCTGGGTGAGGAAGCCTGTATGTATCCCAAGCCAAGTGTGTCCAATTGAGTAAGATATAATAAATGTGAAGGAGGGGGGTGTAGGGTCAGGATGCCTGTCCTGTGAGAATATTGTGGATAAGTCAGTGGATAAAGGTTGTTGACCATGAATGGTGACCATTAGTGAAAAAGGAGGTGTTGACATGTGTGGAGAGGGTGTGTGTCTGTATCTGAAACGTGTGTGTGTGTGTGTGTGCCTCTGCAGTTTCTGTGAATGTGAGTTTCTTACAAACATTCCCTCAATTCATCCATTCATTCAACAAATGTTTATGTTTATGGAGCACCTCTTGTGTGTCAGGTTCTGGGGATGCAGGAAGAAATGAAAATCTCAACCTCGAGATGCCTGGGTGGCTCAGTGGGTTAGGTATCTGCCTTCGGCTCAGGTCATGATCTCAGGGTTCTGGGACTGAGTCTCAACTAGGGCTCCTTGCTCATCAGGGAGCCTGCTTCTCCCTCTGCCTGCCACTCCCCTGCTTGAGCACGCTCCCTCTCTCCCTCTCTCTCTCTTTCTCTCTCTGACAAATACATAAAATCTATAAAAAAAATCTCAACTTCACAGAACTTATATTCTAGTGGGAAAGTCTTGTGAGAAGAACAGCCCTGCAGCAAGTATCTGAGTGCGTATGTGTGTCCATGTGTTGTGTGGGGAGGATACTGTGTCTGTGTGTTGGGTAAGAGTTTGTGTGAAGCTGAGCTTCTTTTGGTTTTAGTATTATGTGTGTGTGCTTGTGTCTGTTGAGTGTACATGTTGCTTGTGTGTGTCTGCATTTGCTGAGTGTGTGTATGTCTGTGTTTTCTCAGTATGTGTTTGCATATGTGTGTCTTTGCAGAGTGTGAGTTTATGTGTATATGTGTTTGTCTGTGCTTGTGTTTGCTGATTTTGTGTTTGTATTCTGTGTTTTTGTGTTTGCATAAGATTCAGTGTGTCTGTGTTTTCTAAGTGCATATTTGCAAATATATATATGTGTTTGTGTGTGAGTCTGTGTTTGCTGAGAATGTGTATGTGTGTGTATTTTTGAGGAGTACATATTTGCAGAGTGTGTGACTATGTGTATGTGAGTCTGTTTCCTGAGCATGTGTTGGTACGTTCGTGTCTGTGTGTATGTTTGCAGTGTGTGTGTGTGCCTGTGCTGGTAGTGTGTGCATATGCGTTTTTGGGAGCAATGCCCACTACCACAAATCTCCCTCCCTTCTCAGGCTAATGCAGAGTTTTTGTTTGTCTCTTTCACTGCGGAACTCCCAGATATCAAACACTACTTTGTACACAGTAGGTGCTCAGTACGTGTTGAGTAAATTAACGAATCAGGAGGCCCTGTCTCCTGGCCCCTCCAGGGGTACCCACCCATTGATGTCCTATAGGCTTCAGCAACCAAGACCTAGTGGACCTAGCCTTCCCCTGGTCCATTTTGGGGTAGTCCAGGGTGCTCGTCTGTCAGATCTGTCCAGTCTTTAGGCTGTGCCTCCCGGCAACCCTTCCCTCCCCTGACCTCAGCCCCCAACCCTGCCCTCGGAATTCAGCACCGCGGACAGGAGCGCGTGAGATCAGCACCATGGAGAGCTCCCGCGACAGCCTTCTTTAGAAGGGGCGACAAGAGCGGAGTCTGGGCCTTTGACAGCGAAGTTCGAAGAAGAGATTTAGCAGGATGGCAAACAAACATGCCGACAAACAGAGACAGAGAGCAACACTGAGATAACTCAGGCAAAGTCGCAGAGATGAGGAAAAAAGTGTTTGGGGAACACCTGGACCTAGACCTTGCCGTCTCATTCATTGGCCGGCAGGGGTCGCTCCCGCCCAGTGACCGCGCCCTCCAGGGCTTTCCTGGTCAGTTAGGGGGAGGGACTCTTGGGAAGCCCCTTCCGCACCCTGTCCCCCAATGCTTGGAGTGGAGAGGTCACTGATACTTTCCACACCAACTCTGGGAAGCATGGTTGGCTTGGTCTCAGCTGTAGGAACACTTCGCGGGGTGTGTGTGTGTGTGAAAATCGCTTCAGCTGCCCCCCTCCCAAACTACCAGCTAATCGCTCCTATAAATACAGTCCAGCCTGGCCTGGCTACTTAATCCTGACGGTGAGGGAGGGGGTCGTTAGAGGGGCTGCAGGGTTCCCCGAGGAAGCTCTGATTGGGGAGGGGGGCGGTATATACATGCAAAATGTTTTTCTGTGGGAACATCTCCCGTGAGGATGGGTGTCCTCAATGCGAATGTCACTCTGTAAGAATGTATCTCCTCAGGATATGGGGGTCTCGTGGGTGGGAACAATTTCCCACAGAGAATATGGCTTTTAGGGGGGTCTTTCTTTGGGGGTATCTTCACCAGGCTCTCCACGGGAAATGTCACCCGTGGGGATTTTTCTCTGCGGAAGTGTCTTTTCTTGGGGGCGGCAGGGGGCTTTTGAGAGGAAACGCTACCTCTCAGAGATCATCTGTCTTAGGAATGATTTTCAGGGTGAGGGGGTAGTTTCTGATTGGAACGGGCCTCCCGGTGGAGACTATCAACCCGTGGAAATGTGTCTCCCTGAGGGGGTCGCTGCGGGGAGGGGTGGGTATCCGCATAAGGAATAATCTTAGTGAGAATGTCTCCCTTGGGTGTTTCTTGGGTTGGAGGTCTACCCATGGGCATGTCTCTCCCCTGGGGTATCTTTGCTTATAGGGGTCTCCCCGCAGCTTGGCTCCCTTGGGGACATAGGGAAGCTCCTCCCCCTCTTGCCCCCTCCCACCCCGCCGCGCGGGCAGCCTTGGCCGAGGCCCGGCTCGGGCGCCCAGACGCAGTGACGGCGCCGGGTCCGCCCCACTTTGCTCCGCCCCCGCCACCCCCACCCCACCCCCCACCCGCCGCCGCCGCCGCCGCGGTCCCCGCGGCTTCTCACTCCCTCCCTCTTCCCTCCTCCCGCAGCCGCCGCTGCCGCCACCTCCCTCCTCCCTCCCCGGGGCCGAAGCCGCCGCCGCCATGGACGATTCGGGCCTGATCCGCCGCCGGAGGCTGCAGGTACGCGGCGGCCTCGGTCCCGGGTGGCGGGGAAGGGGTCGGCGCCCTGAGGCGGGGCCCGGTAGGGGGCGGGAGAACTTGCGCGGGGGCCGGCCGGGGCGCCCCCTCCCACCGCCTCGGGACGCTACCAGAGGGGAACGCGGTAGCCGCGCGTCCCGCCGCGCTGGCGACCCCGCCCCTCAGGCGCCGCCCGGGGATCCAGGGAGCTGACGGAGGGGGTGCAGCCTAGCGCTCCCCCTCGAGGATAGCCTGAGGGGCACCTGGCCCGCTGGAGGAGGAGGGGGCTGGGACCGAAGTCATCGCCAGGGCGCAACGCCAGGTTGGGGGTGATGGGGTGCAGAGCAAAGTTATTGCCCCAGGGCTCGCGCCCCTCGGGGCCACCGGCGCGCCGCAGAGGCCGCAAACATGTTTATGCTGCAGCCTAGCCCCTCACTACCCCAGGAACCCCCTTCTGAGGCTTGGGGAACCCCTTCGACCTCCATGCATCTGCCGGGCCACCAGGATTCTTCCTACTGCCCTAATTGGACAGACACCCTAGACAGCCTCCCTCCTCACTCTTCATTCCCCCTCCTTTCACTACCCGCCCCCCGCCCCCCCCCCCCGCGAGATCCTCAAGTCCAGCCCAGCTTGTGGGTGGGCGGGAGCGATTTTTAGCTCCTTGCAGCCTTAGAAGATACTGGTCTCCAGGCTGCGCAGGCGCGGGAGTGAGTCCACTGCACAGAGTGGGACACTGAGGAATGTGGAGTGTGGGGAAATCCACGCGTCAGGAACTCCTACCTTAAAGATGGGTGGGGATTCTGAAGCTCAGAAGGGCCCTCTTCTACTATCTTTCTCGTGAGCTTCTAAGGGTTAATAGGAAGGTTCGATGTTGCTCTTAAACTGACCCCAGCGAGGAAACTGATCAAAGCTTCACCCCAAGGCCTGCCTGGGGTCTGGTCCTTGTGAGGCTTCCTGGACCCACGCTAAATAATCTGGAGTTTAGATAAAGCCTAGGTGGCCCCAGACTCAAGGTACATCCCTAGCCTGGTGCTTGGAAAAAGAAGGGGAGGATTCAAACCTTCACCCAGGGTTTCGTCCATTTCAGGACTCCTCTAACCCACACTATCCCTGAGGTTGGAGACCAAGGTTAGCTGATCGGTCGTTGCAGCAGGAAAAATCTGAGTCAGATGATAGGAAGGACTTCCCGAGTAGTCAGGATGATGCTGGAGCCAGACCTGGGTTGGAAAGCTAATTTGCTTTCAAACAGAACCCAGATGGCTCCATCTAAGAGACTTGGGCTCTCGAAATCTCCCCTGGATTCCCACCCCATCTTAGTGCTGGGGTGGGAGAAGGGGTTCTGAGAAAAGGGAGGGAGCAGCGGCAAAGCCAGAGCAAGTGCTGAAGCAG